AAGCGAACATCGGTAGAGTCTACAATTCTGGAGTAGAATTACAGTAAAAGCTTTCTTAAACAAACACTGGTTGAATCAGCATTTTTGTACAGTTAAAAAATAGGTCCATTTGAAAGAGCACTGTTTGAAAAATGAATACTGAAAAAAAAGTACAGTAAAAGTTGTTTTAAACGAACATCGGTAAAACCAACAGTTCTGCTCAGTTAAAAAATCGACTCATTTAAAACAACTTTTTATGAAAAATGAAAACTCGGAACTCACAAAATTGGCTGATTAATATATAATTAAATTTATAATAGCTTCTGTTTAACAGAGCTTTCACTGTATATACTTAAAGTAACTTACCATGCATTTTACGAATTTTTATTCACAAAAACTTTACTGGCACATTTTGTTTTTGATGGTTAAAATTGTGAAAGGTTATCGTTTTGCACATAATCAAGATACCTAAATTGTGGAAATAAGAGAATTACTTAATTAAAATAAATGAATTTAATAAAAAACGAAATTACAATGAAATTTAATATTTTATTTGCAATTATTAATTTTTATATAATTATGACAAGCTTTTATCATTTCGATGGAAATAATTGGGGCAAAAGAAGTTGCAGCACATGATGAAACGTGGTTGGAATCTAAATTGAATGCTCTAAAGATATTTATAAATTTATTTTCCGTAACGATATAACTATAAAGTAATGCATAGAATTAGAAGTTAAAATGTGTTTCGGTTCATTGTACTATAATAAATTTCTTGTGTCAACAATTGACCCTAACCATAAAGAAAATCTTGAATGTACATTGCAATGTTTGTCGTTAAGGATTTCTCATACTCCGATAGAAAATGTAGCTACCAACCGATTATTCTACTTCCAGTCTGATAGTATATCAACCTCCGAGAGTAAGCAAAATGTGACTAGGAGTCTCATCTTCTATGTGCTATGCAGAGTCAACTTTCTGTAATCCTAGGTAGACTCATATTTGTTAAGATGGAAATGGAGATTAAAAAGATTGGTCAGATAATCTGCCAGCTATGTAAGCTTTGCTTTGTAGGCTATAGTAAATATTTCTGAAAATTTATGTCATACAGTTGTTATAGGTTAGTACAGAATACATTTAAAATGGTCTACAAAGTAGACCGAAATATCTATAATACGAATAATTTTTTATAAAAATTAATATACAATTAAATATTTAACACAAATTTATAAGTGTAATTTTTAAATTTTAAATTAAGGACTTAAGCCCAGTAATAATTTAAAAAAACTTAGTACAGAATATACATAATCCTTAAATTTTTTTTGAAAATTAAACAGAAACTTGTTTTATAAAATAAGTTAGGGAAGATAAGAGTATGTATTCTACAGATATATCACTTCTTATATTGGAGAGGGAGATAGTCACCACCAATTTCATTTTGGAACAAAATTTTGGAGCAAAATTACTTCAAAAAATACTTTTATCTTTTTTTAAAAAATTTCAGAAGTATTTCAGAAGGTTTCTTTTAATAAAAACTAAAACTAGAAAGGCAGAAATTAAAATATATAATGAATAAATAAATAAATAAATAATAATAACAAATAAATTTTATATTCATTTTGTAAGACAAAGAAGCTT